GAACAACCCCCGGGAGGCGCCATATTTGTGAGGAGCGCGGTCGTGTCATGATGGGGGGGGGGAGGGTCTCTGTGCAGCCGCCATCTTTGTGCGGGGCAAGCTCCGTGCCAGGAGCCGGCAGCCAGGAGGCAGAGAGCAGGGGTCCCGGGATCCTCGTGCGGGACGGAACCTACGTCACGGGCAGGCGTCGCCCTGAAGCCGGGGGATGGGCTGAGCCTATCAGGGCCGGCAGAGGGCGCTGGGGTCTCCCCTCCCCCGGCCAGGCCCCGACGGGTCCTAGTGTCCGTCCCGCTCTGCCTGTCCGGCCCCTGGGTCGCGAAGCGTCGGGAGGGAGGGGCGTGGAGAAAGCCACTGAGGGAAAGTGAGTCGCTTGCCCCACTGAGTCGCTTGCCCCACAGGCACTAGGGCACCAGATGAGAGGAGCCAGCAGCCGGTTTCAGACAAACCAAAGGAAGTTTTTCCTTCACTCAGCTCACAGTTAACCTGTGGAACTCCTTGCCAGAGGATGTTGTGAAGGCCAGGACTTTAGCAGGGGTCAAAAAAAGAACTAGTTAGGTCCATCTGGGGCACCTGGCATTGGCCACTGTCAGGCAGACAGGATACGGGTCTGATGGACCTTTGGTCTGACCGGGTATGGCCTTTCTTATATTAAAAGGGGCACTTCTGTAGAAGGCCATGTTCCTCGAGCCTTGAGTTTCCCATAATTAATAAAATCATATCCGGGCATGCCAGGTTGGTGACTGATGAATATGTCTTGCTCCCAAAGGTATCCAGCCTTTTCCAGTCCCCATCGCAGGGGGTCAATTTGGTGGGATGTTTCTTGCTTCCTGTGTTAACTAGATTTAGTGTGATGGAGTTGGGTTTCAGAGGCTGAAACAGGAAATCTGCTTCTTTGAAAGTGATGTTTTTGTCAGCTCTCTTGCTTGGTGGTGTGGTGGAGGCTGGTGTCTGCCAGATGATTTTGGCAAGATCTAGAATTGCCTCAGTAACCGGGAGGGCAATTCTGGGAGGAGGAGGTGTCCAAAATATCCATCAGCTTGTGGTGTATCTGCCATCGCCTGAAGAGACGCTATAGCTCATTCGTCACCCCCTGTGCAATGTCTTGGAAGTTACTGAAATTATCAGCTTGTGATGATGTGTATGGGTAGAGGCAAGAGGATTACAGCCTCATCTGACAACAATGAGAAGTTTGTTGGAGGGGGTAAGCATCCCCTTTGAGCCTTTCTTCCTATTCTGAAACTCTAGACAGTGGTTCTATAGGAGAGTATCTGGCAAACGCTCTGATACACACTAGATACCAATGAAGTATGGGATCTGTACATTGCCCAAGGAACCCCATATGGCCTTTGGGGAGGGGGAAGAGGAAGGACATGGGTGGTGTGGGGTACCCAAGGGGATATGTACCACAATCATGGGTTGGCACAATGTAATCGAGGAGGACCCTTGTATTGTGATTGCAGAGTACGATGAGAGGCCAGGGAAATTACATCCTCCTGCCACTGTCAGAATCATCACTAGGTAAGGGTGGCGTTGACTGTGGTATCAGGATTACATTGCCCAGAGGCAACCAGAGGTGTGTGTGGTACCAGGACCTTGGTATTGAGTAATGGGAATTGTGGTTTGTCCTCATCTGGGCTATAGGGCAACAAAACTCTTGTGGTACCATCAGCAAACTTGGTGTCTCAAAGGAATGTTTATGGTACGTTGTTGGTACCACTGGTTGTGAAGGTGCAGAGCATTCTATAGCCAGGAGCTTTGTTCCGTCTGGTACCAAGAGTTTTTCTCAGTGTCACTCCTTTGATGAGATTCAGCATTTGTCCTTAGGGAGTATATAAGTAACCTGATGCTCTTGGTACTTGCTTCGGAGCCACCGGTACTGAGGTGGTTATACTGGGGAGCCCCGCTGGCTGGCCAGTGACCCAGTTTGGGGCCCTTGGGCTCTTTTTTTCTTTCCTTTCTAGAGCGATCCTGCTGGCCTTTTCCATGACTCCACCTCCTTTGAAGTTGAAGGCTTCACGGTCCCATGGAGGCTGAAGTGCCTTCTCCAAAGGAGGAGTTTTAACTTGTGCTCTTGGTTCCTGCCAGACCTCAGGTTTAGCTGGTGGCAGAGGGAGCATTTCTGAGGGTCATAGAACTCTCCTACCCCCTAGACACAGTGAGAATGTCTGTCTGTTATTGGAACCGACTTCTTGCAGAAGAGACACCTCTGGAAGTTGGGCATGAGAGGAGCGGATGGCTGGCTATCGCTCTTTAGAAGTGAGGAATGCAGAAGAAAATTCTTTCCTCTTCCTTCCCCCCCAGACAGGGTGGGAAATGTAAACAAAAGTTCATTTTCCTGTTTTACCCTTTTGGGATAAAAAGAAAAGGAAACAAACTATTAAGGAGAACAAAAGAAACCAAACCAACTGCTACTTATGCTGATGATGCAGATAAGGAAGGGACAACTGCTCCCTTCACGAGGCCAAAGGCAGTGGAGAAGGAACTGAAGAGCCCTGCAAATCTGCGGAAATCCACATCGCATTTCTGCAGATAGGGATGCAGATGTGGATACAAATTTTGTGTCTAGAACCCTGCAGGTCTGTGGATATCGCTTTATATCCACTGGTATCTGCATACAAAATCTTGTATCCAGGCAACATCTCTGATTAGAGGTACAGGTACAGTTACAATGAAGGACCCTACGGACACTACTCAAAAAAGTATCTAAAATTTTTGGATGTCCAACATGAGATATCCCTTTGGGTGTGTCTAGACTACTGAGTTTTGTCGACAAAAGTGGACTTTTGTTGACAAAACTATACCTGCGTCTACACTACCGCTGAGTTCTGTCGACATAACGTCGACAGAACTCAGTAGTTTTGTCGACGCTGGTAAACCTCATTTTACGAGGCATAACACCTTCTGTCGACAGTGTTCTGTCGACAGAAGGTGTTATTGCCTGTAGGGTTGCGTCT